CTGCACCAGGCCGGGGGGGGCTGAAGGTTCCTGGTGCGTCCCTGCGGGGTCCTTGGCCACCACTGCTGTGTGGGAGTGGAGCCCAAACCAGCCCCCACCAGCCCCAGCCCCCTCGGGCCTCGCTCCATCACTCGCGCCGCGGCCGGCTGGTGCCGGGGGACGTGCCACAGCGCGTTGTGCTGCTGCGCTGGCGAGGGCAGGGCTGGAGCGGCTGCGGGGGCACAGAGGAAGCCCCCCGTGTACAGCCATGGGCAGGACATCTCCCTCTCTCTTTTTTTCTTTTCCTTAAGTGCAGATAGTTAAATATTTACACCCCTGCCTGCCCTACTTTAACGCCATTAACTCGGTAGCTGCGCGTTTCCCGGCCCATGGGCCGGCGCTGCCTGTCCTAGGAAGCACCAGATGCCGGGGAGGGATGTAGCGGGCAGCAGCCTCACGCCTGGTGTGGGGAAGGCAGCGCCACGCTCGGGCAGCCCTCTGGGGACACCCCACGCGTGGGCAGGCCCTGTGCGGGGCAGGGGGCAGCATTACCCAGGGAAACCCAGCAGCAGCCGCTGCCCCTCTGCTGCCGCGGCCCACGGCGTGGAGCTTGCGCACTGGGACTCCCGTTGGAGCCGTGTGGGTGCTCCCGGCGGGCGCGGAGCTGACGCGGGACCTGCAGAGCCGCCAGCCAGCGGCGTTGGACCCGAGGGGGAATGTCACCTTGACTGTAGGTGCCTCACGCTGCCACGCCTGCTCTGCCTGTTCTTGCTCTGCCGAGCTGAGCAATGCATCGCGCTTTTGAAGGAAAGAATAACAAAAACGTCCTCTTTCAAAAACCACAACGAACCGGCCAAGCCCAGCACCCAAGGGATGGGCACCGGCAGGCAATTACGGACAAAGAGAAAAAAAAAAATCCTTTTTATTCTGGCTTGGAGATACGTGATTGTGCAAGTCCATACTCTGTGGGAGAGAAACTCTCCAGCATCTTCTTACCTGACATGTGATTCCTGGGAAACAGGGACCAGCAGGACTTCTGCTGGTG